CACTGGTTACTTCCTTCAAAAGCTTCAATTTCATTCAATTTGCCTTTAGTCCAGATCAGGCATGCAACCATCCCAAGCTAGGGCTCGCTGATCGGCAGCGAACATGTTCGGTTGCGAACCGTTCGGTCACCGAACTATCGGTTTGGTGCATGCCTATTTGTAACAGCGATTCTCTTTACTTGGTCTCTTTTGTCGTCTGCAGAACAGCATCGATGTTTCGATTTATACGAAGCTGATAAAAGAACAATACAGCTTCATCCTGTATCCAAACATTGGTACTTTATGGTACCCTAATAGAGCTCCGTGAGAACCGTTCTCCTATCGAATATTTGCCAGATTGGTTTCCTTACGGCTCCGATATAAACATTTTTTGGTCTGGTTCTACGTCTAAAGTTTTGTTCTGTCTGTTAGTTTCAACTTCACTTTTTCGATGAGCCAGGAGGCTCATCTTTTTAGGATACCGGGAGTGTTATGTCAGCTTTGCTGACATAGCCTTACATTCATTGTTCTTCTTTTCTCGTGTGCGTGTTCCACTGAAAGAATGTTGACTCACAACATTCTTTTACTTTTCTTTGTTCTTGTTGTTTTCAGTGAGTTAGAGTCAGTTGCTTTTTTGATTGTGTTTTGGAGAGCGTGTGTTTTGTTTGGAAATATATAATAGCGTGGCAGAGCTAACAAACGATTGCATTGTTTTAATTAAAACCTTTTTAGAATTAAGAGGTCAAACAGATTACTGCATTATTGCTATCATTTCATATGGCCAAAATGCTCACGTAAGAAGGGTAAAAGTAAAGCTGTAAAGTATAAAAATCAGATTGCCTATATAAAAAAAGGGTTATCACAAAGTTTCAGTTAGCTCCTGAAGATGTTAATTTTGGAATAATTACAGGTGGCGCCACAATAATAGTGTAACTTGTCATTACTTTTCGCATAAATTGCATCAGGGGTTAACCAAAACTTTGTGATAACCCTTTTTTTATATAGGCAATCTGATTTTTATACTTTAAAGCTCTACTTTTATCCTTTTCAGTAGGTCGTTTTGGCCATATGTTGAGATTTATTACCCTAACTCTTCTTATATTTCGTTCACCCCATCGTAATTTACGATCACATAATTTAAACGTTATTCTGCCACGAATATCGTTGACATTGTCACAATCCAACTTTAGAACTTCAAAAATATCATTCACTAATAGCAGCGATGGAATATTTGGAATAGCTTGTAATTTAATTAAATCGGATATGTCTTGACCAACTAACTGATCGATAATCTCATAAAATCTGTTATTATTATATGTCATAATATCATCTTGTAATAGACTTGTATCAAGAAAAAGTTTGGAAGACATGGTATTTAGCTAATAATAAATCGAAGGAGGAGAAAGTCAAAGCAGAAAGAAAAGGGAAAGACTTACCAAAATTTTTTAATAATTGATTTTTCGATTTTTTAATTTTTTTGTGTACGGAAGATAAAAATAAAGCGAAAGGCGTGGAAAAACGAATAAAAATAAATGATAATGAGTGTGGGCCCACGTTGCTTGATTAAATAATAAAAAAACTTTTTTTTGTAATTTTATTTTTATTTTTAACAGAAAAATATATGTATTTTATAAATCTGACGGAGACTTTTAAAAAAAGAAAACGGAGAATGTACACAAGAATTT